GTGGGCTAATAAAAAGAAAGAATCGAAGCATGCCTGATTTGCGAGAGGGACAGGACAATCAAGCAAATATTAACGTGGAAGGTACCTCGAACGCTTTGCCAAAGCAATCCGTGGATGATTCCAGTGTTGGTTTAAAAGGTAACGAAATGGCACAATCTCTGAGCGGTTACCTGTCCGAAGGTCATTTAGAATTTGCTGGAAATGCCAATAATAATATTGGAAATACAAGCAATCCAAACTTGGAAAGAAGTCGATTAATGAGGAAGAGTTTCCACGGTAGTGCTGGTAAAGTATTACATGTAGCGAAGGTACCACCACCACCTCCTGTCAGAACCACTTCTCAGCTTAGCAAGTCTAAGTGTTCGGGTGAAGTGCATAGCGATCAGCAAGCTGATAAATCTACGTATTCATCTTCAGACGGACAATGTTCATCTAACACAGTAGCAGGATCTCAAGATCAAACCAACAACTATTGGAACCACATGAACAATGGAAATTCATCAAATTCATCAAATCGTAATTCTAATTATGCTGATTACTCGACAGAGTCGCATTCCTTACCTTTCATTCCGTCCTATGGTATGGAACAAAACGGACATCCTGCTAATGTTCAGACTAATTATAACAACAAGCCTAGAATTCAGGACGATGTCGTTCAATATGCTAATGGTATTCTTTATGAGCCTACCTATGTGATTACTCGTGCAGATGTACACAGCGAACAAAGTCCTATAAAACAACAAGGTTCTTTAGATTCTCTTCCACCATATCCGGAAAATGGAAACATCTCTCATTCAAGACAACCGAGTGAAGAATTCCCGCCCCCTCCATACCCATCTATCCATTCAGTGTCACATTCCAGACAAGCTAGCGAAGATTTCCCACCTCCGCCACCACCAATCGACGAGAGTAATATTGGTCACGTTCAAGAGAATCAATCTCAAAGAGAACAATCTCTTCAGCAACTGTATGTTTCCAATCAACAACGCTTACATCGATTAGAAACTCAAACGTTAAATAATATTTTTTCTCAATTGCAAATAAAGAACGAACAGATTTTAGCTTCCGATTCGAAGGATTTAAAAACAAACGAGGAACAGGAAAAAGAAGAGAAATCTGCTAGTGAAACTTGGCTGAAGGAACTTCAAGCTAAACAGGCAGAAAAAAGAATGAAAAATCAGGCTTCGCTCGAGCAAGATATACCAAAAATTAGGACTCCATCTATCAATACGAATCAAATAACAAGTATAGCTAGGAGAACTAGTGATTTAATGATGAATAGTCTTGGATATGATACAGTAGGTCGTGATGTTGTCGACTGTCCTAGAGTAGTATCATCAGTCAAAGATATGGCAGCGAGATTTGAACAGAATAAATTACAAATCAGCTCGAAAGTAGAATCCGAACCTAAACCTCCCGCGAAACAATCCAATTCAAATTCCACGGTCGCTCCAACGATTGATATACCTCATGAACATCAGCAAGTAGACGAAACGAGATTAAAATATTCTTCAGATAATTCGAATACTTTCCCTAAAATGAATAATTTTACTAATCAACCAATTCAAAGTCCAAGTTTTGAATCCACGACTAATCAAGATACTTATGTATCAACTATACCTTCTGATACTTCATGCACTGTTCAACAGAGTGGATTAAACGCAGCTATTCTCTCGATGTCTTTAACATTACCACACGAGAATGGACTACCTGTTGATTATCCTGAAGACGATATTAGCGAAGTAGCTATGCAAAATACCATTCAAAATAAAACCATACTTCCAAACGAAGAGGATATAGAATTGAGGAAAGTAAAGAGGAGGATAGGTAAAAAGAAAAGCGTATCGTTTTGTGATCAAGTAGTTCTTGTAGCTACAGCTGAAGATGACGAAAAAGATTCGTATATACCTAATCCCATTTTGGAGAGAGTTTTACGATCCGCTATGAACAAACCTGAATCTGCTCAAGTACTTCGTGAAATTAGAAATCTTCAGGAAGCTGAGATGAACAGAGAAAATACACCGAGGTTCCAACAACAAACTCTTCCTCTTAAATGTGAAGCTGACAGTGTACCTGCGACACCATTCCAGGATCAATTAAGAAGCGTCAATCCTATTTCGATTTCTGAAAACGTCAAGCCAACGTTCGGTAGACAAAATTCAAATGACTCTATTGGTTCAGTAGTAGACAAAAAAATATGTGGATCTTACAATATCGAGGCACAAGATACAAATAGAGAAACATTTCCTGGTATGATTATATCTGCTTCGAATCCACCACCAACTTCATATTCTCCACAACTTCAACAACAAATACGTTATTCTCAAAATGGTTATCCACAGTATATGTCATCACAATCTTCCTACACGCAAACTCAAACGTCTCATCCTAGAAATCAGAATGTTCCAATATCACAGACGCAGAAACCAGCTAGCCCTTATCCGACACAAATGCATAGTAGTCAGTTTATACCGACCGTGTCTCAGCAGCAAAAGAATCTATGTCAGAAAAATACTTATCAGAAGTTTTATCAGTTAGAACAGCAACACAATCAGATGAATAAACAATTATCAGCCAGTGGATTACAGCAGCATCAAAATGGTCTTAATCAGAGGATTTCCAATCATAATGCCAGTCCAATAACTGTTCAGTATTCTCAACAACAATTGGGTTATCCATCGAATCAATCGCCGAGCCCTTATCCAAATCAATATCCTCATAATAATTGTCAAAATTATCCTTATCAATCAGTGCCTCAACCAAATAGGATCAATCAACCTTTACCTCAGTATCAACCACCACCTAATCCACCATCATCGACGACGTTGTCTTATCAACAAAAGCAACAAACCGTTCATAATTATCAACAGAGGTACGACAATTATCAGAGACCACCACAGAAGGATCAGCAAAATGTTTTGGCACCTAATCAAACTTATCCTAATCCCTTACAGAACGGACAAATCCAATCAAACATGAAATATCCAGCTTATCAACATCCACCTCCTCCTAAACAGAATAAACAAATCCATTTTCTTTCGACCGCGAAAAGTAGCACGCCGATCGGCCAAACATCGTCTTCTATGCTGAAGTCAAATATGGTTGCTTCATTAACGGCTAGGAGTGTACTTTGCGATCTTTGTCGACAAAAACAGGTCATGGAACCTGCCAAATTTTGTTCCGATTGTGATTTTTACATGGCCCGTTTCCAGCCGAAAAATTAAAATCGTGTCTTTAATTGGCATTGACTTAAGCTTTTTTGTTAACTTAGATATTAAGTTAATAGATTTATGGAATAGTGTTCTTCATTATGCCAACGAACCTTTAAACAAAGGTATATTAAGTGCATTATTATATTAACCCGTAACCGATATTATTATGTGTATAGTATGGTAAAGTTAGGAGGATCTTGGAAAAACGTTTAAAATTTTAGAGGTAATTTAACAAAATAAGATAAAATAGCATTATGAACAATATCTATTATTTTATTTAAAAACTAGTCCATTTGAATTTTCTCACAAACGTTTTAAAACAAATTCTAAAGGAAAAGTTGGTTACAACTAGTATTAAGTAACTGCTGAAATTTAATAGATCCCAATTGACAAGTTACGGGTTAAGATAATCGTTTTGTACATAAGCTAATTATCAGATAGTGTAATATCAAATCAAAGGCTTTCATCGAATAGTTATTAACTCAATGACATTTGTATTATTTTATGCGTATTATGTATAAATTTTTATAGGTTTTTTAGTTTAATAATTTTCTCTTTTTCAAATTGTACCTTTTTAAGTTATCGCCATACGGTAACGTAATTTATATACCGTATAAATATAGGCAATATTCGCGAACCCTATAGAATTTGTTAAGTTAACAGGAATCCGTCTTATCTTAGTAATTTTAATGATCTATTGTGTAAATAGCTTATGCTATCGTTCTCGAATTTTATATAGCTCCGCAAATTGTTATTATCGAACAGTTGTTAATTAGAATATATTTCTGAATCTGTTACAAACAAATAATGATATTGCAAGATTAGTTAGTCGAAAGAAAATACAGAATTGTGATACTAGATGTGCTACGTAGGACTTACTTGTAAGTTAGGAAAAATACGTAGGGAGATAATTCGGATAAAGATAATTAGAAGATAAGAATAATAAAAAGTGAAAGAGGGAGAGAGACAAACAGAAAAAGAGAGAGAGCGAGAGAGAGAGAGAAAGACAAATACATAGAGAGAATGCGCGTGCGTGTATGAATGAGTGAGATAAAAAAGAATCCTTGATCTCCAAGTAAGCGTGAATTTTATTTTATGTTAACGAATGTTAAATGTTACATATTATTGTACTTATGTATTATGTTACGTCATATTTTCGTTTAGATCAATGTACAAACTTTCGTTTTATTTTATTTGTTCTCTTTTTTTTATATACTTTTTGTATAAGTATTTTGTTTTAAAAATACTTTATTTTTCCTTCCACAAACAAATGTCTTTATGTATTATTTTTTTCTATCCTTAACTTTAACATCTATTATGTATGTCATGAAAAATTACTAAATTTTAGATTCAAAAAAGTAGACTTACTTTGAAATAATTTTTGTTATTTATAGTTTAGCCGTTTACGGGATAACATAATTACCTTAACTTGTAAAATTGTTTTTTTTTATCCTAGTGCCAAAACACATTCAATTGTTGCTTAACTTCTTAGATTTGAAATAATTTTTATTAAAATTAAGCTTATTATCATTAAATGATCAAATTTTTATGATAGTTGAGTAATAAATGATATTACAATATAAATCGTCCGAGATTAAAGTCTCCCACTCACCTCATCTCTAAAGGTCGAAAAGCGGGAAAATGCGTTTGTAAAACAGAGAGCGCGGTTGTAGCAGTTGCTTCCATCTTCTTGAGGCGCTATAAATAAATTTAATTTAATTAATTTTTTACATTTTTTGTTCTGGGGAATTAATCAATTTAAGCGATTAATAGAAAATTGTTTGCTTTGCATTAAAATTCTTTATTATTAATTAAAAGTGTTACAGCATTTTTAAATACTTGGTGGTAAGTCGAAATTCTTAATCAAACGAGGAAATATCGCGCCTTATAAGATAAATCGAAACTCGATTTGTAGTTGAGGTAGTCGAATGTAGAGAGTGCTGTAAGCTGCAGCTACAAGGCAGATCGAAACTATGCTTAACACTGTGCTGTTCGTTGACGTCATATGCCTACGTATTTGTTTTGTTATTAGAATCCTTCAAATTGCAATAGCTAATGTCTGAAAATAGATCCAAAAGCATTATATTAATAAGCATTCTATCAAAATATTTTAATGATTCTCTCACTTACACATCCATTGCTCAAGATATAGTTATTTTGTTTACCAAACATACTGCAATATTACAGATTGTAGTATTATGTCATATTCATAATGTAAAAAAGATATTTTATAAACGTTATTTACAAATAATTTAGTTATCGTAGAAACTTTTTAATTATCAAACAATTAAGTTTCACAATAATGTAGTTTCACTTTTTGATGCACCAATAATCAGACACCTATTAAAAAGAGAAAATATTTTGCCATATTTGTAACATTATTTAAATGGAAAAAGGATTACTGAATACTTTTTGATAGATTTACTCACAGATTTCTAAATTCACTCAGCACTATTTACAATAAAAATAATATTTACACAAATAGAGAAGAATATTCCACAAATAAATATATTTATTTTTTATACATTACATTTTTTTGTCTAACCTAGATTTTAGGTTTGAACGGTGTTTACTTTAAAAGCCTGATAATAGGTATATTTTAAATCTTATTAAAATAGTTCTTAATATTATTATTCAAAACATTACAATTTTCGAATTACAATATCACTTGAAATTTGAGGAAAAAATATTAATTTAAAAAAAGGTGCGGAATTAATGACAGTACTATTGAATGAATAATATAAAAAACAATGTTTGGTTAATTTAGTTACGTATTGATGACATCGAATAAGAAACGTGTGTCGGCTGGTTGTCAGATGGCGCTGGTGTGGCACCATGTCCGTAATGGCGTGCAAGGGCCAAAGTAAAACGTTGCAACGACGCACACGCGAGTGCGCTTCGTTTCGTCGGGTTGTTCGTGATTGAAAGAAAGAAGAAGGGAAAAAAGAAAGAAAGAAAGAAAAGGAAAAGAGAAAGGACAAAAAGAAAGGAAGGAAGGAAGGACGGAAGGAAGGAAGGGCGGACGGGAGGAAGGGAAGAGAAATAAAGAAGTAAAGACAGTATAGAAAGTTGGAAAGAAAGAGAGCGACAGACAGACAGAGTGAAGTGTGCCCTCTCTTCTTTTGGTAATCGTCGAGTTGTCAGAAAGTAGTCAAGGAAGGAGACGTTAAGCCGCTTCTTCTTTGGCACGAGTGTTGTCCGTGTGGTTTAAATCTGTCGCGTGAAATACGTTAATTGTATCGTGGCACTCTGTGTTAAATAACGAAGAAAACGAACTAAGAAACACGCGAGTAAAGTATCGTCGAGGAGGGTGTCGTGTTAGTTGTTTAGTGCAATGACGTCGGCGAGTGGTGGTATCCTCCCGTCGTATCAGAGACTGGCGAACGGCGGCGCGCCGGCGTCACTGTTTGCGAGACGTTCCTTCCGGCCGCGCGAAAAGTACCTGATCCTCTTGGTCTTTTTGACGTTCGCCGTCGTCTGCTTCGGCGCATTCTTCTTTCTCCCGGACTTTGGCGCCGGTGGCGTCGCCGTGGACAGCGTTTATCGTGTCTACCGGCGTATGCAAAAAGCAGGCCCAGACCTTTTGATGCCAGCACCACCTCGTTTTCCTCTTGGCGATTCATTTAACGATGAATCTTACTCTTCCCATCATCCCAATGCCCTACCAATGCCACTTGGCCACGAGGCAGCTTATAACGTCGACGTACATCTCATCGAGGATCGGATGAAGCTTCGGGTGTGCCTACGAGAGATTTTTTTTTCTTATGGAAATTTCATTCGTGTTCTACTTTCTCCTCTTTCTTTTCGATCTCCTCCCTGCTTGCTTGTTTGCTCACTCACTCATTCAGTCACTCATTCACTTACTCACTCACTCACTCGCTCACTCATTCACTTACTCACTTACTCACTCATTCACTTTTGCAAGAATACAACACGTCGCGTATATGGTGAAATCACGGTCAAACGTCAAGTTCTATACAGAGACGGATAGATGGATATGAGTATATATATATATATATATATATATATATATATATATATATATAGAGAGAGAGAGAGAGAGAGAGAGAGAGAGAGAGAAAGAGTGAAAGAGCGTATTAGAAAATGAAAGAGTAGTGTTATTTGGTCTTGACGTTTGTACGAGGGAGAGTACAATGGCGCTGCGTATACGTTCGTGCGTCTCCGTCCTTTCCCGTTTGTTTACGTTCGATCCCCTCGATTTCTCCCGATGACGCACGAGTTAGATGCACGTGCAGACACCCGCGCTCTTTTTCGCACATGCGTGTTATCGATACATTGGCGGGAATTTCTGAAATTTATTTATTTTATGTTTTAGCCCATTATCATATCAGCTTATTTATCGATAAATTCGTTTATTATTCACTTTTTTTTCTCGAATGACACAATATCATAATAAAGAATGAGTAGTAGGGGAGGAGGTACATTGTATTTAACGAAAGCGTTCTCCAAAATGTCTACCATGTTAATCAGCCTTCCATTTGTTTTTTAATTTATTTCTTTTTCTAATTATCCTAATTCTATTTATAATAATGATCTTGAAGTGTCTATTAAATAGGAGGAGAAATTAGATACACTTTAATACATTAATTTCAGGCTAAAATCAACGAAGAGTTTCAACAACAGAAAACGTTAGAGAAACCGGAAACAGTTGGTAGTGACTCGCGAGTGCGTACGACTAGTTTTTCATCTTCCTTCATTATGCATCAACGAAATGAGCAAGTTTTTGAAACTGTACCACCGGCTCCAGCGGTAAAACTTCCTTTGATTGTTGGTGGCGAGGACAAAGATGAAGTTGCCAGAGAACGCAGGAACAAAGTTAAAGAGGTTAGTTTGTTATGGTTAATTTAGGTTACTAGTACGATATCGAATAAATTGATGTACTGTTGTATATATAAATTATTCTACTATCGCATCCACGTCGACGTATGGAAATATCCAACGGATTAATCAAAGTTGTTTAGATTGCGATAACGCGTGATGCGTTATCTATCGACAGTAGCAAAAATTCTATTTATTTACACTATCTCCGACTTGTTTAATTTATCTCGTTATTTGTGATCTATTCCGATGAACGATAAGATTTGCTTGTTTTTCATTTTTATTTGTTTGTTATGTTTTATCACGAGTCAGTTCTTCTCTTTTGTTTTTATTATTTTTTAATAATCCAAATGGTGGACAACTCGTAATCCTCGTATTCTCGTAGCATGCTCAATTTGTCAAAAATAACTGCATACATGTATACAGAGAAAAGAAAATTAATTTCAAAAATTTTTATCGTTTTTGTCAGTTTATCGTGCTAACATTGTACACCGTTTGTCTCCATTTTCATTGGCTGTTGATCAAGTATTTTTTTTTTTTTAATTGTTTTTACATTTTTCGAATTCTCGCAGCAAACTATTCAACGTTCGTTGTAGATTATCTATTTATCGAGCCATTAGGCAGTATCGGAACATCCGGAATAAGCAACATGGCCCTTCATTAATTTTTCATCCTGTCGAATCATGAATTACGTAGGATAGTAACGCGTGTATGCAACTCACACTTCTCTCCCTCTCTCTCCCTTTATCTTCCTTCCTTTCTCTAATGATTTACATTATTTCCAATTTATTCTGCATTCGAGGATAAATAAAAATTCCAAGAAAAACTATTCCCTCTGCTTTTTATTTCTATAAATACAAATGTTGTAAATCGGTAAAGAAATACAATTATTTGTTAATTGCTATATTTGTTGAAAATATACTAATTGCAGTAATAATAATAATAATAATAATAATAATAATAATAATATATTATATTATTTACATTATAATTATTGTACTATATTATGCTATATTATTCTTATATTATACTATATTATACACTAGATTATTACACTATATCATATTATTATTATAATAGTATATAAGTATCATTAATACTAATTATTATTGTATAATTAGAGTATATATGTTAATCTTTACGTACACTTATGCGGCGCCCCACATATTTTCCTTCACAAATTCCCTAAAATAATAATAATTTCATTTTATAATCCTTATATATTGGCAGATAATTCTGTGCGCTTGCGTAATTTATTCGTGAATCTTAGTATAATATAGTAAATATAGTATATTTTATTATTATTATAGTATATATAATATTTATAATAATAATTATTATAATATAACGATTTTATAATATATATTATTACATTATTGTCACATTCGATTACTAAAAAGTGTATAAGTTGATTAAAATCTATGTAAAATGTTAGAAAAATGAGTCACGTCATCAGGCATTTTCATGGTACATTCGAATAAACATTCGATTACATTTAATTAGTTGGGGTTTGGAGGGTAGCAGTGAATACTCGTGTGTATGTGTACGCGGGCGCTAACACACGTCATTGTCCAATTTCTCTTCTGTACTCTTCCCTCAATCCCATGCATCCCACCCTTTTCCCGGACACTTCGTCACCGTCGTTGATTGCATTCGCTTGTTCTTCCGTTTGACGAGCACGTCGATATGTGTGTTTCAACCGGGGAATCAGCTTTGCGAATTCGCATTCGTAAATTCGCACTTGTATTTGCATTCGCTATCCTCTGATCTGGACGTTCGATCTTCCGTGTTAGGGATTGCCTCATTAGGCTCATGGAGGGATGATACAGTATTCGAGAAAGAGGGACAGAGGAGTTAATAAAATATTCATGTCGTCAAAGTGATCGAAATTGTGATGATATTATCGAAATTAAACAATTCTTTCGATATTATCTTTGATCGATACGACACAACTAAATATGCTGTGATATATTTATTAGATAGAATTAATATATCACTGACGAATATAATTATATCTGCTAATATATTTATTAATACATGTTTTATTTATATATAATGTATGAAAAATATATTATTATTATTATTATTTATAGTATCCCTGAATATATTAATTAATATATTAGCATATTTAAATAGTTATTAGAGAATTATAAATATATTATTAAAATATTATTAATAAACATTACAAATTATTATAATATACATCTATATATACATTTTTATATTATATAAATAAATATACTAGCACATTTAGTTGTATTAATCAACGATTATTTTCTTCTCTCCTCGAATTTCTTATATTTTATTTTTTAAATAACCCAAATTAGAAAAATTACACAATCTTACATTTATTATACTTACCAACTACATATATATAATACACTTATATATTACTTACAAATTATTTAACAAATTTTAATAATTTAAATATTTCGATAAAATACAATATGAACATGAGTTTCCAAATAACATAATATGTAAAGACACCAGTTACTTAATGTAAAGATTGATAATGTTCAATGTATCTAAATTCGATAGAAAAGAAAGAAAGGAAAATCGATATAGAAATGTTGTACGAGGGTAGAACGAATAAACAGTTTCATTTGCTAGCCATTGTTTACGTTCACGTTTGCTCGTCAGCAGTAACTTTTGGAACATCGAGAAAAAAAAGGAAAACAAAAAGATCACAGTTACTTCGATCAGGACACGAATGAGCTTCGGTTAATCACTCGCGTGTAAACTACGGAAGGAAAGAGATTCGATATATAGTATGTCTTCCTCTCTCTCTCTCTCTTTCTTTATTACTGACTAACTGACTAACTCACTCACTCATTCACTCACTCAYTCACTTATTCACTCACTCACCCACTTTTTCTATCTAACTCATCGCGAAGCGTCACGTTTTGTCCCGTTATCGATCAATTCGAGTCTATTTCTATTCGTGAAGAGCGTCGAACGATCGGAAATTTTTCGAGATAGCTTTTTGTCTAGCTTGATCAAAAGCGTTTCATCAATGGAATCGTTCCATCGTCATGGTCGTCGTCCTCCTCGTCTGCATACGTCATTGTCATTGTCGTTGTCGTTGTCGTGTTGTCGTTGGCAAAGTTAAAAGCGAATTTTATATCGCTACATGATTTCAATCACGACTTATA